AAGTGTTGGCTGGATGTTGGTGGCCTAGGGTTAAGGTGGGCGTCAGGCAAGGATATCCCAGCTCCAGGGTCAGAGAAGCCCAGACCTCCAACTGGAGAGACTTTCCCTCCACATTCTTTTTTTTTTTTTAAGATTTTATTTATTTATTCATTCATGAGAGACACACAGAGAGAGGGAGAGAAAGGCAGAGACACAGGCAGAGGGAGGAGCAGGCTCCATGCAGGGAGCCCGATGTGGGACTTGATCCTGGGTCTCCAGGATCACGCCCTGGACTGAAGGTGGCACTAAACTGCTGAGCCACTGGGGCTGCCCTCCCTCCACATTCTGCTAGCATCTTGTCTGAATCCCTCAGAGCAGAGGCTTTGAAGCTCAAGCTGAGTTAGGAAACTGACCCCTTTCTGAGCCCTGGTCCACTAGCCCCCAGCTATGACTTTGGCCAAGGTACCTCAGAGACTCAGTTTCCTCATTCAGAAATGGGACCGGTACTTACCTCCAGGGGCTTCTGTGCTCTTGGAGATGACATGTGAGGTGCTAAGGTAGTGCTTGGAACCCAGCAAGCGCTTGGAAGCCAACAGATGCTGCTCATCCCAGTCAGCCCCAATCCGTGTTCCTCTTGTTCCTGTCTGCTGCCCCCAGCAGGGAGCAATGGAGGCAAGAGTTTTGACTCCTCACTCATAAGCTCAGTAGTCATAGCAAATTGCTTAACCTTTCTGAGTCTCAGTGTTCTTATGATAAAGTGGGAATAATGAAATATGTCTCATTTTTGTGGTACAAGTAAAATTATCAATAGTGGTTATTTTATGGGAAGGGCATTATGAAAATTTATTTTGTTATTTTTAGTTTTAAGGGCATTTTCTGTTTTTTTTCTATAATGAATATGAACTTAAAAATAAATATGAATGATTTATATATCTCAAATCACTTTTCAAAATACGCTTTTTCTAAAAAAAAAAATTACTGGGGCGCCTGGGTGGCTCAGTTGGTTAAGGATCAGATTCTTGGTTTCAGCTCAGGTCATGATCTCAGGGTAGTGGAATCAAGCCCTGAACAGGGCTCTGTTCTGAGTGCAGGGTCAGTTTGAGATTCTCTCTCTCTCTCCCTCTTGCCTTCTGCCCCTCCCCCTGACTCTCTCTCAAATGAATAAATAAAAAAAATTTTTTTAAAGATTTTATTTATTCATGAGAGAGACACACACACACACAGAGGCAGAGAGACACAGGCAGAGGGAGAAGCAGGCTACATGGAGAGAGCCTGATATGGGACTCGATCCTGGAACCCCAGGATCACACCCTGAGCCAAAGGCAGATGCTCAACCGCTGAGCCACCCAGGTGTCCTGAATAAATAAAATCTTTTTAAAAAAATTAAAAATACTTAAACTTGTTGAGTGCTCACTACATTTTAGGCATTGCTCTGAGCACTTTCTATACCTTATCTCATTTAATTCTCACCACAGTCCTCTGAGGAAGATAGTATTTTCATCTCCAGTTTATAGATGAGAAAACCCATGCTGAAGGAAGTTGAGCAACTTGCCCGGCTTGTGAGTGAATCTATACGTGTCATACACTTTCATAAATCTATATACACACAGACATAGACAAATGAATACATGTAGAAACAAATGAAATCTGAATAAGGCCTGTAGTCTAGCTAACAGTGTTGTGCCTCTGTCATTTTCCTGGCTTGGATATTGTGCTATCTTTATATAAGATGTTACCACAGGGGAAAGCTGGATGAAAGGTACTGGCTGGAAACCTCTCTGTATCTTTTTTGCAACTTCATTGTTTCTTCTTCTATAATTAGGCTCTCAAAAATTAAAGTTTTATTTTTAAAGATTTGTTTGAGGGGGAGGGGCAGAGGGAGAGACGGTCTTTTTTTTTTTTTTTTTTTTTTTTTTTATTCATGAGAGATACCGAGAGAGGCAGAGACATAGGTAGAGAGAGAAGCAGGCTCCCCGCAAGGAGCCTGATATGGGACTTGATCCCAGAACTCTGGGGTCACGACCTGAGCCACCAGGGGCCCAAGAGAGACAGTCTTAAGCAGAATCCATGAGCACAGAGCTCGACTTGGGGCTCAATCTCACGAGCCAGTCACTTGGCCAACTGTGTCAGCCAGGTGCCCCAAAAAGTAAAAAAAAAAAAAAAAAAAGTTTAAAGCTTTTTGCAAGGATTATGTGAGATAATGGGCCTAGCACAGAGTTGGATACAATTGGTGTTCCAATATATATTTTCTTTTTCCCCACTCTGACAATTTTCAGTTATATAGTAATAACAGCCTCCATAATGTGTATACTATGTGGTAGGCTTAATTTGCATGCATTGTGTCATTTAATAAAGACTATGGTGTGGGTACTTTTTTTACATTTTGTTTGTAAGAAAACTCAGGTTCTGCAAAGATAAACCTCTTTTCCACTTGTTAGAAAGTAACCAAGCCTGGATTTACACCAAGACAGTCTGTTCATGACACCACTCCCTTCTACTCAGGGTTCAGCTCAGAATGTTGCGTAAAGGTATGCTTTGAACCATGGAAATCATCTACCCAAACTGTTTCGGTTTATACAAAGAAAACAGGCTCAGAAAAGGGAGGACTTTGGTCAAGAACACCTAATAAATGTATGACTGAGCTGGGATGAGAACTCAATTTTTGGATTCCTATGTCAGGGTATTTTCCAGTGCCTACACCCAACGCTGCTCGCCCATATAGCCTTCCTTCCCTGAGCTGCCTGGGAGACCACTGGTGCCCACAGACAAACCTGTGGGTCCTCACTCACACCCCTCACCAACCTACACAGCTCAGGGCACTCAGGACCCAAGAGGTAGCAGTGGAGCCTGGGGAGATTGGAGGCATGGTGGTCCTTTACTGCAGGCACCCTTGGAAGGCAGGGTAGCTGGGGCCACAGAGAGAAAGGGAGGACCCTCTGAACTTTGGCAGGAGTAGGAGTGGGAAGGGAGGATGTGTGTGTGTGAGAACGGGTATTCATGCCAAGTGCCTGTTCCTGTCCCCCTCAGGCTTTTTTGAGTCACTTGCCCTGAGGTTGGGGCACATCCTTGAAGTGGGTGGTCACAGGGATTCCAGGACAAGGATTCCTCCTGGGGCTGAAACCAACACCCCCCTTGGACTCAGCACCTCGTCCTCAAGTGGTAATATAGTGACTCACTCCTTTCATTCCTATCCTGGGACCTCCTTGGACTTTCAAATTGTTCCAAGTTCAGACGTGGAGTTGGTGGGGAGGATTAGCCCAAGTCCCACTTCCCAGGGAAGAGACGCGTCCTACGTATCTAGTGGAGGGTTTGATCCTCGTTCAAAAGAGCACGATTAGCCCTCTCTCTCCATCCTTGTTGCGCCTTCCCGCCCCGCATCCCATCCCACTGGGCCAATCCAGGAAAGGTTGGAAGATTAAGGACCCCTTCTTGCTCCCTTAACACCTCTGCGCCCTGGCGGGCCACTGGGGAAGCAAAGCCGGCTGGTGGGTAGACCAAGCAATCCTGTCCGCGGGGAGCAGCGCCCTCGTGTGACCTTCGGGAGAAGCGCATTTATTTCCCAGCCCCTCCCCTCCTATGCGCTATTTGAACAAGTATTTTTGAGGGCAACTAGGTGTGCTAGGGACAGCCATGAAGAAGACAGGTAAAACACCTGCTCCGTGAACGGTACATTCCAGAGTGCGTGTGTGGCGGGGCAGGCAATAAATGACAAACAAATAAATGAGGCAGATAGTAATAGTGATAACTGCTGGGAAGAAAATAAAACAGAAATGTGATGGAGACACAGGGCTGGGCGGGGGGGGGGGAGGTCTCCTTGAGTAGGTAACGTCTCAGATTACACTTAGATATAATAATAATAATTAATAATAATAATAATAATAATAATAATAATACACTTAGGTTCAAGGATCCAGTCAGGTGATCTCAGGGAAAAGCTTTCCAAGCAGAGCGAAGAGCTGCTGCGAAGACCCCCCAGGCAGGAACAGGCTGTGCATGACAAAGACCTGCACCGCTGGAAAGGAGTGAGCCAAAGAGAATGGTAGGAAATGTGGCTGGGGATGTAGACTAGGGCCAGACTGTAGATCTTGTAGATCTTGTAGGTCATGACAGAGTTTGATTTTTCTTCTAAGAGTAATGGGAATATATTGGGTGAGTTTTGAGAAGAGTAATGCAGCTTGATTACCTTTTAAAAGGATCCCTGAGGCTGCTGTGTAGATTAAGAATTTGGGGCAAGGAAGAGTGGAAGCAGGGAGATTATTGCAAGAGATTAAAAAGCTATTGAAATAATTCAGGTGAGGCAGGATGGTGGCTTGGAACTGGGTAGAAGTGTGGGAAGCCAGAAGATGTGGTTGGATACTGGGTTTACTTTGAAAGTAGAGCCAACAGGACTTGCTAATAGACCACATTCTCCTTTGCTCTTTTGGCTGTAGGACCTCCTTCACATACACACTCTCACGGACTCCTCTACCCTCAATGCCAGGCCGAGTTAGAAGGGCAGAACCCAGGGGCAGGAGCTAAATGGAAAGTTTCCAGGTGTAGTCTGACAAAAGGAATTTAAGCCTCAGGCACTGTGTTCTCCTTGGCATGCCTCCTTAGCCCGTTAAATGGGCTGAGACTAGGCCTGTTGTCTCCCTTACTGTGTAGTCTGGCTTCCGCAGACCCAGTAACTTATCAGGTCTCTGTTTTCCCAAACGAGTACCTTAGGGTGTGATGGTGACACCCCAAACAGTCCTAGAGGGTTGGTGTTTGTATTTGATACAGAGTAGGGGGCAGGATTATCTGAGGGTCTTAGTCCTCAGACCCAGGTTAGTGACTTACTCCCATTAATTTACACAAAACACAGTGGGGTCAGACCTGATCCCACAGAAAAAGCACACAACATTTCTGCCCCAGGCTGGGCATTTCTGGAGAGCCTGGAAAAGATCAGGTTAGCCTTACAAACACTCTCAGGCAGCAAGGGCTGGAGAAAGCAAGCAGAAAAGGGAATGACCTGGTTGGCTCTGGAGTCAGCAGGCCTTGCTCTGTGTTGTGCTGCATGGGGTAGTGCATTATAAATGCAGCCAGTGGAAGGCCCCTGAACTCAAAACTGTACCAGTCCCCAGAGTCTGTACAAGCCTCCCCAAGATGAAGCTACCAGGCCAGGAGGAGTTCGAAGTCTCCAGTGCTTGTAAAAATGTGCCCACAGGAGAGCTGGACAGTAGCCCTGGCTCTGGCCCCAGCCCTGATGGCCCCTTGGACACCAAGAGAGGGGACCTGGGGGTATCCAAGGACCCGCTGCTTTTCATTCAGCTGAATGAGCTTCTGGGCTGGCCCCAGGCACTGGAGTGGAGAGAGACAGGCAGGTGAGTGGGACCCAGAGCCTTTTTATGTGGTCTTTCCCTTTCCCCAGCTGGGGACTCTTCCGTGCTTGTGTATGAGGCAATCAGGAATTCCTCTCTGCGTTCTCCAATTCAGGCCCTCACTGTCCATGATGCTCAGCTTTCTATGTACTTTACTTCTGAGTTCCCCAAGCCCCCCAGTCGAGGGGTGAATGCCCAGGAAGGGGCATACTTTGCACTACTAGGCCCAGGACTCCCCCATTGCCCTAGCTTCCTTGGCTTTACTGTGTCCCCACTCCTAGACCTGGGAAGGATGACCTCAATAACATAGTTTACTCCTCTTCACTGCAGGTGGGTGCTGTTTGAGGAGAAGGTGGAGGTGGGTGCGGGCCGGTGGAGTGTCCCTCACGTGCCCACCCTGGCACTGTCCAGCCTTCAGAAGCTCCACAGCCTATTGGCCGAGGGCCTTGTGCTGCTGGACTGTCCAGCTCAGAGCTTCCTGGAGCTCGTGGGTATGCTGGGAGCCTTGGCAGGGAGGGCCTGGGCAGTCATGCCATTTCCCCAGGACTTCCCTCCAAAATCTTAGAACTTTCCAGAGCTCACCCCACCCCCACCCCCCAGGGATTATCATTCCCTGTCACCATGGGGCAGGAGGGGAGAGATGGAAGAATAGAGTGGAGGAGCAAGTTCCCTGAGACCCCCAGAAGGGAAAGGGACCTGGGCAGGGGAAAGGGGAAGAGTTTGGGGCAGGGAGCTCTCAGGAAAGTGTTGGAGCCCCACCTCTGTTCTTCAGAACAGGTGACCAGAGTAGAGTCGCTGAGCCCAGAGCTGAGAGGGCAACTGCAGGCCTTGCTGCTGCAGAGACCCCAGCACCTCATCCAGCCCACAGGCACCAGGCCCTGCCAGGGTGAGAGGCCCATCCCTGGGCCCAGGACCAAAAGCCCTGGGTGAGAGTGTCCCCCCGCCCCCTCCCTGGGCCAAGACCAGCCTAGCCTTGGCTCATACTTCCATCCAGGCCTCATGGTAAGAAGTGGAGGTCACAGTGAGGAGGAATGATGGAGGGGCCAGAGTTCTGGGAAGGGATGTTCTGGTAGGCAGTGTGCCAGGAGCTTTACATGTAGTATCTCATTTATCTTCACAACCATCCTGTGAGGTAGTACCACAATAGCCCCATTTTAGTGATAAGAAAACTTATTAGAGAGGGGAAGCTCCAGTTTGTCAGAGGTAAAGCTGGTCAGGGAGCCCTTGTGGATCTACCCCTAAAGCCCATGTTCTTAGTCACTGCCTAATCCTGTTTTGAAGGATCTGCCCATCCAAGAGAGGCTTCTTACAATGAGGAAGCCCTGCTGAAGGAACAGGTTTGTGGCCCTTCCTTGGACAAGGCTGGGAGAGGAGTCGGGGATTAACAGAGGTTCACCCTCCAATGGCCTCAGTATCAATCAGTATCTTGCCAACATCCACTTCCTCAAATATCCTCTCATCCTTTGTATCTCCTCAAACCCCTCTCCAGCGTCAAAACCCTCTGAGACAGAAGCTGCCTCCAGGAGCTGAAGCAGCGGCTGTGCTGGCAGGAGAGCTGGGCTTCCTGGTGCAGCCCCTGGGAGCCTTTGTGCGACTGCGGGACCCAGTGGTGCTGGGACCCCTCATGGAGGTTCCCCTTCCCAGCAGGTGAGGCTGCTAAGAGTTGGGGGTCCTGGAGACCAGAAGAAGGCTCTTTACTGGGGAGGGGATTGGGAGGTCTCTGGTTTAGTTCTTTTGGGGGTGAGTGTAGGAACATGCTTGGGGGTCTGGGGAAGGGTAGTGGACAGAGCTGCAAAGCAGGTGTGCACATGAGTGTACATATGGGGGCTGGTAGGGAGGTTGGAGATCAGGGCTGCCTTACGGGATAGTAGCCTCTGATTTTTGTGGGGCCTGGTTCCTTCCTCAGATTTTTCTGCCTCCTCCTTGGTCCCTCCACAGTGGGAAAGGGCTACCACGAGATAGGCCGGGCAATGGCTGTCCTCCTCAGTGACTCGGTGAGCTGGGCAGGGTGTGTGTGTGTGCACGTGCACATGAGTGTGCATGTGTGGACTCTAGATGTGTGACTGAATACAGCAATGAGGCAGAGCGTGGCTTTGTGTCTGTAAGCATGAGGTTGGAGCCCCCTTATCTAGCACAGTGCTGGCACAGAGTAGGCACCCAATAGATACTCACTGCATGTATGCATTCATGAATGCTTGAATGACTTCTCTGCCTACCTGACTCGTGTCTAGCTTTGAGACTGTGAAAATGTATGTAAGGATCCAGATCTGCATTTCCTGCCCCCCATGTGCTCCTACCGCTAGCAATTCCAGTGGACAGTTCGTCGGGCCAGCAACCTTCACGACCTTCTGGCAGCCTTGGATGCCTTCCTAGAGGAGGTGACAGTGCTCCCTCCAGGTCTGTGGGACCCGACAACCCGGATCGCCCCACCTAAATGTCTACCCTCCCAGCACAAAAGGTATATGGGGACCTTCTCCACAGGCCTTGGGTCCAGTCCCACTGTTGAGGAGGGTAGGGGGAATCCCAGGAAAGGGATAGAAACTGATCTTTGGATTCATAGCTTGCTGGCAGAGACACGAGTAGCCACCAGGGGGCAGTCGTGTTCTGGTTGGAGAACTTCAGGCAACCTGGGTTCCCCTTCTCTTCAGGCTCTTCTCACAACTGAGGGAGGTCAAGGGCCCTCCTGCCCCACCTGGGGCCCTGGCTGAGGACAGGCACGGCCACTGGCTACGTACACCCAGCCCAGAGTTACAGCGGACAGGCAGGTGAGGTGAGCTGGGGTGAGAGCTAGGGGGAGGGTATGGGGAGGGGAGAGGGGTCACAGGGCACAGAGATTATGCTTCCTGTGGAGGGGCTCACCCAGTCCCAGGGGAAGTAGCAGGGATAGGGGTGTGGGGTGTGGACACCCGGATCACTGACAAACCACGGGTGGGAGGCTGTTTGGGGGCCTCCTCCAGGATGTGCGCCGGAAGGCTTCATGGTACCCTAGCGACTTCTTGGATGCGCTACACCCCCAATGCCTGTCAGCTGTGCTCTACATTTACTTGGCCACCGTCACTAATGCCATCACATTTGGGGGTCTGCTGGGGGAAGCCACCAGTGGTGCTCAGGTGAGTGGGGAGGTGTGAGGGGACACTGCCAGCCATGCCCTTTATGCTTCCCTGGGACAGGGGGTGGGCTGCCATGGAAGCTTGGGTTGCTGTGCCCCCAGTGTTCTGTGCTGACAGGGTTCCCTGCCGACTTCTAGGGCGTGCTGGAAAGTTTCCTGGGCACTGCAGCAGCTGGAGCCACCTTCTGCCTGATGGCTGGCCAGCCCCTCACCATCCTCAGCAGCACAGGGCCAGTGCTGGTCTTTGAGCGCCTGCTTTTCTCCTTCAGTAGGTAGGTCACCAGACCCCTCACTAGCTGCACTCTCGGCCTGGTCCTGGCTGCATCAAGAGGGGAGGGTGCACCTAACTGAGGATAAGTGGAGAGCAGAACAGCTCTGCCAAGTCCTGTCTTTCTTACCACCTCCCTCAGAGATTACAGCCTGGACTACCTGCCCTTCCGCCTATGGGTGGGCATCTGGGTGGCCACATTTTGCCTAGCACTGGTGGCCACGGAGGCCAGTGTGCTGGTCCGCTACTTTACCCGCTTCACCGAAGAAGGCTTCTGTGCCCTCATCAGCCTCATCTTCATCTATGATGCTGTGGGCAAAATGCTGAGCCTGACCAGTGCCTATCCCATCCAGAGCCCTGGCTCCCCTGCCTACGGCTGCTTTTGCCAGTATCCAGACCCAGGAGGTGGGTGAGGGAAACAGAGAGCTTGGTGAGATGGAGAAGGACACATGATGGGGAGGGTTGTCCCCTTGCTGACCCCCTTATTAGGGTCAGCAAAATCCTGAATACTCACCCAATAGCCAGCAGCACTCTTCCCCACTCTGGTTTTGAATCAACTGAGAAGTAAGAGAGCAGTCCCAATATTGTCTTTATTTCTGACAATGCTGATCGGAGAATGTGCTCATATCTATGGGGGAATGGGCTTCCTAACAATGAAACCAAAACTAGAGAGGTTTACCCACCCAGTCATGGCTGCACTGAATGGGAATGTCTTGCCCCAGAAGAGCAGAACTAACTGCATGTACAGCACAGGCAGCTTACTCCCAAGAGTGGGGAGATGAAGGGACAGGGAGAGGCATGCCCAGCTTCTTCTCTCAAACTCACCAATCAAATAAAATGCTGCTTTTCCACTAGTCTGAGTGACTGACTCAGGGGGAGAGCCACTCAGCATATTATACTCGCACAAATACCTCCACGTGGAAGGAAGCAGCAGGAATGGGGAAGAAATGTCCTCTCAAGAGTGCCAGACTCTGCTGGGCATGAACAAAACCAGTTCGGTCCTGGTAGAAACCCAGAGATTGGTGTGCTTATTCATTAAGCAAACATTGGCTAGGCATCTGCTCTGGCTAGTCCTGTGCTGGGCACCAGGGATATCAATAGGTAAGGAATTTGAGGGCACCAGGCAGTGTACTGAGGAGCACAAACTTGGAAGCAGTTGGAGTCAGCAGACAGATGAGTCAGAACTAAGAACTCTCTGGTTCACTTGGACCGATGAGATTAGGCTCCCAAGGGGTTGGAAAAGGTTCCCAGGAGAGGGGCATATACCCAAATTGTTCTCTGCTTCCCAGGAAATGAGTCTCAGTGGACAAGGACAGAACCCAAAGACAGAGATGACATCTCAAGCATGGTGAGGCCCTGTTCCTGGGAGGGCCTGGGAAAGAAAGGCTAGAAGCCAAAGAAGTCAGGAAGCCAAAGAAGTCAGTGGTTCCTGGCTTTTCCCACCTCATAGGCTAGGGAAACCCTCCTAGGTCACAGAGGCCCAGACATGTGCTATGGCTGGAGACCTCTTATTCTGGGTCCTTGCTGTCTCAGTGCGTGTCAGTCAATGTTAACCCATCCTTGACCACCCTTTCCATATAGGACCTAGGCCTGGTCAATGCCTCCTTGCTGCCCCCAACTGAGTGTGCCCGGCGGGGAGGCCACCCTCGTGGCCCCAACTGTCATACAGTCCCAGACATCGCCTTCTTCTCCCTCCTCCTCTTCCTTACCTCCTTCCTCTTAGCCACGGCCCTCAAGCATGTAAAGACAAGCCGCTTCTTCCCCTCTGTGGTGAGTGTTACTCTCTTTCTGTGGGAAAGTACTGGCTCTTGGCCTCAGGCCCTGTGTGTGAAAGGGAAAGTGTGAAGAAGGAGGGGGCTGGTGGGCTGCATCTGACTTGAGTGTCCACTGTATGGCCAGGTACGCAAAGTGCTCGGTGACTTCTCCTCAGTCCTGGCCATGCTGCTGGGCTGCGGCCTTGATTCCTTCCTGGGTCTGGCCACGCCAAAGCTCACTGTGCCCAGTGAGTTCAAGGTGAGAGCTGGGAGTATAGGACAGAGGGGAGAGCACAGACCTTGGAGGAGGAAGATGCGTAGATCCCATGCTTCTCTTCCTCTGAGCTTCCATTTCCTCACTTATAAAACAGAAAGAGTAATAATAATGACCTCACAGAGTTATTGTGAGGATTCATGAGGCACTGCTGCTGACACAGTGGTACAGAATACATTACAGCTATTATTATAAATTAGGGGTTAACAGGATGGATTCTGCTCAGCCAGCCCTGGGTTTGAGATCCTGTTTTGCCACTTCCTAGCTATATGACCTTAAGCAAGTTAACCCACATCTCTCATCAATGAGTCTCAATTCATGCATCTATAAAATGGAAATAATAAATAACAATGGCTCCTACGCTATAAATTGTCCTGAGTTTCACGGAAGATGAGTGTAGAGCATTTTATCACAGTGCAGGGACTGGTACACACTAAGACCTTAATAAATGTTGCTTCTTATTGTCCGAGGTTGGCCCTACCCGCTCCACTATTCTCCACTCTTTTTGCACCCCCAGTTGCCAGCTCTGATCTGGTAAAGCTAGAGCTCCCTCCCAAGGGCATGACAGTGCACAAGACAAGCCTTAGCACTAACTTAGCACCTAGGCTTTGCCTGTGCATTTGGAGACCTCCTTTCCAGCTTTCCTCAGGACAGGAGAGCAGGAACTCCAATTGGGGTAGCTTCAGGGGCTCAGAATCTGAGACAGTAACTGGGGTCCCCTCCCCCACATAGACGCTTATAATCAAAGCAGACGCAGACACACCCAGCTCTGCCCCTGCCCCAGATCAAGGCAGGTTTGAGCCTGAGTCACTCCACCCTGGTTGGTGGAGGTGTTGCCTAGGGAGGAGAGCTCTGCCCCTGTAGGCAGGCCTCACCCACCATATCCTCTTCTTACAGGGAGGGAGGGCCCCTGAGAACCAAAGTCCAGAACCTCTGGCTCCAGCCCAATCCCCAGGCTGGTCCTCCTCCTTCTGCCCACTTTGAAGACACTGGGATGCTTTGAACCAGCTGTGCATGCACACATACTGCTCCTACCTGTCATCTAGGGTTTTGGGATGGGGGTAAGGGGTTGGAAAATTATGGAAGAATGCCAACTCTGGGGTGTGCAGGTGAGGTGCTCTTGGCAGACTCTTTCTAACTTGTCCATGGAATACCCTCTTCCAGCCCACACTCCCTGGGCGTGGCTGGCTGGTGTCACCTTTTGGAACCAACCCCTGGTGGCTGAGTGTGGCAGCAGCCCTACCTGCCCTACTGCTGTCTATCCTCATCTTCATGGACCAGCAGATCACAGCGGTTATCCTCAACCGTGCTGAATATAAACTGCGGGTAAGGCCTGCTGGGTAAGACCCTAGCCCGTAGACCAAAAGACAAAAACTCCAGGATGGGACGCAGTCCTCCCTCTCCCACTCCAGAGGACAGAGAGCCCAGGTCTTGTTTAGTTTCACCCTCAAAGCTCCACCACTACCTGCAGAAGGGAGCTGGCTTCCACCTGGACCTCTTCTGCGTGGCTTTGCTGATGCTCCTCACATCAGTGCTGGGGCTACCCTGGTATGTCTCAGCCACAGTCATATCCCTGGCCCACATGGACAGTCTTCGAAGAGAAAGAAGAACCTGTGCCCTGGGGGAGCCCTGCAGCTTCCTGGGGATCAGGTGAGGCCAAAATTCAGGAGGCTAGAGTAAGAGGTGATCATAAGGTGGTATGGTGGGATAGAAAGCTTTGGACAGCTTAAAATCTACGTTGGTGGCTCCAGAGGGTTCTCTCACTGCTCCATGAGCACTGCAGTGGGGTGAATGAGAGGGTTCTGGACTGAGATGGGTGTGTCAGATCTTCCCCCATTGTCCTTCGGCCATGGGATTGGGAGGGCCCTGGAGAGGAGCCTCGTGGATGTAAAGGAAGAGGCAGCCAGGGCTCAGCAAGGGTGAGGTGCCACCTAATAAACCCCGGGCTCAGTGTAGGAATACCTCATTGAAGTTACAGAGTTACCATCACAAAAACAAGTTTGTAACTACTAGAAACACAATCTGTGGAAAGTATGTGAAATCAACTTTGAAACTGTGAAATAAAAATTTTTATGGGAGTGTAAAATAAAACCCAAACAACAAAAACAAATACAAAGAGCAATGATGAGCTTGAGTTAATGGGGAGGCCTGGGACACCCAAACTGAAGTGCCCTGACCATTTCTCTCCCCAATTTCACACACCATGCTAAGGCCCCTCCCTGCCAGGTGACTATTGGGGGGTCCCTCCACGTCCCTCCTGCAGGTCCCTATAGTGGTATCTGGTCCACATCTCCAGGTCCAGCACCTTGGGGGCTCTCCCAGACCCTGGCTAAATTTTCTCTCTCTGCACAGGGAGCAGAGGCTGACAGGCCTGGTGGTATTCATCCTTACAGGAACCTCCATCTTCCTGGCACCTGTACTCAAGGTACCTTTGTTAGGCTGGCATTAGGGGCAGGGCAGGGCAGTAATAATAACAGTAAATAAAGTGAGAACTGACACTGGCTAAATACTTACTGCACACCAGGCACTGTGTTCAGTTTTCTCCACTTGGTCTCATTTGATCCTCACATGAACCCTGAGAGGCATCTGTACTTCACAAATGAGGAAGCAGAAGGTTGAAGAGGTTAAGTAGCTTAAAAAAGATGGATCTCATCTGAGAACTCAAATGCTTATTCAGGGGGCTTTCTCCCCGGTGGAGCAGGGTGTGGACACACCACCATCCCCTAGGGGGCCAAGTGATATGGTATCATTGCTCCAGCCTCCCAACCTTAGACTAAGAATGTGATCACCATGTCCCAGAAAAACCGTGAGGCAAAACCCCTGCACTTCTCCCTCACCAGATGTTTATAGGACACCTACCGTGCTCAAGGCTCTGCTAGGCACTTGGGAGAAGGTGAGGGCAGGAGTATTGAAAAGAGATATAGAGCCAAGCCTCTATCAGCAACATACACACATGAACAAAAATTAAGTAACAGGTAATCACAGAAAGTTTCCACAAGCCAAGGCAGCAAAGCAATCGAGGAGCATGGAGAATGGCATACAAGAGTCACCGGTGAGGAGGGGTTTGGGGAAGGAAAGGTCATGGAGCTGAGAGTGGAGTAGTTGAAAGAGCCAGATGGACCAGATCAGCTGCTTACTAACTAGGTGACTCCTGTTCAGCAGAGATGTACTGAAGAGCATAAACCATATGCAAGGCACCGTTCCAAAGACTGGGGATATAGTAACGATCAAAAGAGGGAATCTCTGGGTGGCTCAGCAGTTTAGCGCCTGCCTTCCACCCAGGGCGTGATCCTGGAGTCCTGGGATCAAGTCCCAGGATTGAGTCTCATGTTGGGCTTCTGCATGGAGCCTGCTTCTCCCTCTGCCTCTCTCTCTTTCTCTGTGTGTCTCTCATGAATAAATAAATAAAATTTGAAAAAATGAGAGAGACCATCCACTGCTTGGAGTCTGGTGAGAGGAGACAGATGAAAAAGAATTAATAAAATAGGATAATTTCAGATAGTGATTACTTCTAATGAAAAATATATAAGGTGATTAAGAGTGCAAGGGGTCTACTTCAGATTGAAAGGTCACATCCTTCTAGGGTGTCAAGAGATGAGTAGTGAGAAGCCTGAGTAGTGAGAAGAAAGTCAAGGACATTTTGGGTGGAGTGAAATAGCAAAGCAAAGGCCTTGCAAGGAAGTGGAAATAAACTTGGGCATGTTGAGGGAAGGAAAGGAAGGCATATAGCAGGAACAGAGACAGCAGAGAAGAACCTAACAGGTAAGACTAGAGAAGTAGGCCAAGTAGCAGAGAAGTTAACTTAGTCTCTCTGAAATCAAATCCCCCTTTTTGTAAAATAGAGACAATTATAGAATTTACCTCATCTGACTGTCTTGAAGATTCAGTATCAGGCATGCAAAGTGGGAAAGGAACAGAAAGAGCTGGGCAGGCTTAGATATAGATGCTGGAGCCTGGGGTTGGAGCCTAAGTGGAGGGTGGGGGGCATCTGGGCAGTGAGCAGAAGTGAACTCCTTTGCCAGCTTTCCACTTCTTTCTTTCTTTTTTTTTTTTAATTTTTATTTATTTATGATAGTCACACAGAGAGAGAGAGAGAGAGGTAGAGACACAGGCAGAGGGAGAAGCAGGCTCCATGCACCAGGAGCCCGATGTGGGACTCGATCCCGGGTCTCCAGGATCGCGCCCTGGGCTAAAGGCAGGCGCCAAACCGCTGCGCCACCCAGGGATCCCTTTCCACTTCTTTCTACAGTTCATCCCAATGCCTGTGCTCTATGGCATCTTCCTGTACATGGGTGTGGCAGCGATGAGCAGCACCCAGGTGAGCCCATTATAAGCACCATATAATCCCACTCCTCCTCTTCTTTCCTGCTGGTACTTCCTGCCTATATTGCCAAGTCCTTCCCTATCCTCTTTTCCTGACTCCCCTGGGCACAGGGACTCTGCTGCCCTGCTCTGAATGGGGAGAGGGGGCACCAAGGGAACCTTCTGACCTCCCGCTTATGCTGGGCTTAGATAGCTAATAGTGACACCCTGTAGGCTGACTACCCTGCTTTTCTCCTCCTCTTGTTCCCCTAGTTCACAAAGAGGGTACAGCTATTATTGATGCCAGCAAAACACCAGCCAGACCTCCTGCTCTTACGGCATGTGTCTCTGAGCAGGGTCCACCTCTTCACAGCCATCCAGCTTGCCTGCCTGGGTCTGCTTTGGATAATCAAGTCTACCCCTGCAGCCATAATCTTCCCCCTCACGGTGACTTGGGGCAGGGTTGGGTAGTGTCCCAGGGGTCCTGGGAGACTCTTGAGTCTGGCAGGGTGGGCAGTCTCCACAGGAGTAAGACCCTCCCCTTCTCACTTGCCCTGGCTCTACCTGGTTGTGAATCTTTGGACAAAGAAAGAAGGCTGAGAGCTGCCCACAGATAGGCTAATCCTAGGATACCTGATTCAATCCCATTTCCAATCTCTTTGGTCTGACCAACCACAGACGGATATAAAATCCAAAAGAAAACTGGGAGAAGCAATACTGGCACTTCTGTTACTCAATGAGGCCATAACACAGATGGTTTCTGGCCCTATTCTTACTCCCTGAGGAAGTTAAGAGCCCTGGGCTTTCTAGTAGGACCAATCTGACTACCACATCCTAGCTGTGTGGCTTCTGGGAAGTTTCTAAACTCTCAAGGCTTCAGTTACTTTCTCTATACAATGGGAACAATTATATCTACCCTGTAGGAACGTATTAGCATTACGTGAAACAATGCACAATGCCGGGTACATAGGAAGTGCTCAATAAATGTCACTGCTGTTCATGTTTCAGTTGCTATTGCTGACAACCCGGGGTTTTGTTTCTATCCTTGCAGTTGCTGGGCCTGGTGGGGGTCCGAAAGGCACTGGAGAGGGTCTTCTCACCACAGGAACTCCTTTGGCTGGATGAGCTGATGCCAGAGAAGGAAAGGAGCATCCCCGAGAAGGGGCTGGAGCCAAAGTATTCACTTGGTGGTGATAGTGAACATGTAAGCTCCAGGATGGATCCTCTTAGGAGAAGGGGGCAGGGGTGGGGAGAGTCCTTTTGTCTGAGTTAGCCCTACAGTTTAATATTTCTATTAAGTCTGAAGATCTGATCAACACCATCATTGCCTTTAGGTCCTCACCAATATGGGTACACTGAAGGGGTGACAGAAATCTTTCTTTATAGAGCAGGGGCCCAGTTTATAAATCCATGGGGGTGGAAAGGTCTGGGAACAGCTCTGGTGGTCTTTTTCTTTTTTATTTTATTTTATTTTATTTTATTTTATTTTATTTTATTTTATTTATTATTATTATTATTTTTTTTGGTGGTCTTTTTCAACCATGGTCTCTGTCTCAGTGTGGGTCATATCCTTTCATTTTCTGGGTCCCTTTCTCTCTGCCCTGTCTCTGTCTATTCCCAACTCATCTTGCGATCTTTCTTCTGCAGTCAGAGCTGATGTATCAGCCAAAGGCTCCAGAAATCAATATCTCTGTGAATTAGCTGAAGCAGGAGTTTGGGAATCGAGACTTCAGGAAACTGAGCATGAGGTGAGGATGAGGGGAAGTGTCCCTGGGGTCGAGGATGGGGAGGTGGGGGCTCAGAAACTTGGAAACCTCCAGTGTGCTGGCTACCCCTGTTTTCCCTTCATGTTCCAGTCTCTCATGAACCCCAAAGTAGGGGAGGGAATAGAAAGATATCTCCAGAGGAAGAAAGAAATAGAACTAAAGGAGAGTAGCTGGGCTTGGCTCCCTATGGCACTAATGCCTGGCCAGTAGAGGGAGCTCAAGTTCACACCAAAATGGATGTGTGGGGGGGAAGGGTATGATGACTAAAGACTGGTAGGGAGTGGGGAGGAGAAGAAGGGAGGATAATGCTCCCTGCTGCTTTCCTTTGCCCTGGAGGTCATTCCCTTAGGCTGCTGAGAACCACCCTCCAGACAAGTGGAGGGATTCTCTGTCACTTGCCCACCTTGTCATTCTTTCCATTTTTTATTCATCCATTTATCTTTTTTTTAAAAAAGATTTATTTATTTATTTATTCATGAGAGACAAAGAGAGAGAGACAGAGGCAGAGACATAGGCAGAGGGAGAAGCAGGTTCCCTGCAAGGAGCCCAATGTGGGATTCGATCCCGGATCCCAGGATCTCGCCCTGAGCCAAAGGAAGCCGCTCAACCGCTGAGCCACCCAGGCATCCCTCCTCCATTTATAAAAACATTTTATGAGTACTATACTTAAGGAGTATCTAGTTACTAGAGATACAGTGGTAAGATAATCATGGTCCCTGACCTATCTCATCAGTATAAATTCCACTGGGAAAGACCAACACGCAGTTGCTGGGATAGGATAGTGTTGGCTAAGGGAAGCACCAACTGTGGGAGAAGAGAGGCCTCTAAGCCCTTCTTGTGACAGTGGGGTGGTGGGAGTTGGAGAACAGGAAATGGTTCATAACTTGAAATTTGGAAAATCAATAGAAACTAGCCAGTATAAGATGGAGGGAAATCTTCTAGGCAGGAGGTGCAGCATGTGCAAAAGCTTGGCATTTTTTACCCTTGATAAGCTGAATTCTCTTTTGGTCCACAAGAACCCCCTTCTATCCATGCCTTTCCAAGCTCGAGAGCCCAAGAAGCCCCACCATTTGCAACAGAACATTCTGGAGGGCAATTCAGCAGCTGACCCAGAACAAGATCTCCTGGGCTTTCCATATCCCCTATGGTTCTTTGCACTATTCTTTGCCCAACTGCGCCCCTGAGCACTTGTTCTGACATCACTATGTCTTGTCTCAGTTCACAGGTGTTACTCAAAGTCGGGATATTGTTGGCCTTTGGCTTAACTGCCAGATTCTCAGTTGACCTGAAGGAGAGGGGAAGGCCTAGAGGACAGCTGGCCAAGATTTCCGTTACCCTCCTGAGTAGTGGGTAGAGAGTGGTAGAAAATAAGCAGGTTTGCTGGTAAGCCTGGGGAACTGACCAGGCCCCATTCACTCTCTACCCCATTAAAAAGACACGGAAACCCTTCCCATTTGAGGACTTTCCGTCCTCACAAATTCTCTTTTTCACAATTGGGAGTCTTTAGGGAACTCTTTTCAGTTTGCAAAAGGGGAAAAAAATCTTCCACAAAAATTATTCCTCTATTTAAGTTTTTTATACATATGAAAATAATCTTTACTGTTTTTTTTTACCACAAAAGTAAATGAGACTAGTGCCAAATAGCAAAACACTACAGATATATATAGTTTTGAAATGAAAATCGTACCAGTGATATTCAGTGTTCAAATTTTGGTGTATATTGTTCAAATTTATTTCAAGGGATACATTAATATTTTCATTAAAATGAGACTATACTGTCGAATTCTACAACATGCTTGTCCTTCGATATGCATTGAACATTTTTCCCATATCTACCTCATTCTTTTTGTCATCTGGACAGAATGAACAACCTTATAATCTGAAAAAGGTACCATATATACAAAAGAGTACATAAAATGTTTTCTGCAAGTACAAGAATTTCTTCAGAGCATATACCTAGGACTGAAATTAAAGAGTAAAAAAAGAACACTTGTGTATGTCAGTTCATCTATGAATTCTAAAGTTAACAATTATACTTAATCTGGGATCCCTGGGTGGTGCAGTGGTTTGGCACCTGCCTTTGGCCCAGGGCGAGATCCTGGAGACCCGGGATCGAGTCCCACATCGGGCTCCCGGTGCATGGAGCCTGCTTCTCCCTCTGCCTGTGTCTCTGCCTCTCTCTCTCTGTGTGACTATCATAAATAACTAAAAAAAAATTATACTTAATCTAACATTTTAGTTTTAATTAGGAAAGTTGTTCAGAAATTTTAATCTATAAAATGCAAGAAGTGGAAATTATTTTTTATTTTATTACATTTTATTTTTAGGTGATCTTGACACACAAGGTGGGGCTCAAACTCACGATGCCAAAATCAAGAGTTGTATGCTCCACTGATTGAGCCAGCCAGGTGCCCCAGAAGTGGGAATTCTAGTGGCTTTTAAAAATGTTTTAAAGAAGGCTCCTAAGAGCCCCTGGATGGCTCAGTCAGTTAAGCATATAACTCGATTTCAGCTCAGGTTCCAATCTCAGGGTTGTGAGATAGAGCTCCAGGTCAGGCTCCTTGCTCAGCAGGGTGTTTGGTGGAGATTCTCTCTCCCTCTCCCCCTGCCCCTCCCTGATCCCCACTTGTGCTCCCCGCCTCAAATAAATAAACAAATCTTTAAAGAATGCTCCTAAAATTATAGTCTAAGTATCTATTGAGAGAAATATATACCCAAAGTATAATTTAAACTTGGATAATTATATATTTTACCTGTTTCCACAGCATCTACGTTTTGTTTGTTTTGTTTTTTAAGATTTTATTTATTTATTCAAGAGAGACACAGAGAGAGGCAGAGACATAGGCAGAAGGGGAAGCAGGCTCCCCTCGGGGAACCTGATGCTGGGCTCAATCCCAGGACCCCAGGATCACGACCTGAGCCAAAGGCAGACGTTCAACTGCTGAGCCACCCAGGCGTCCCACATCTACATGTAGTTAAAAACATCTTCAGTTAGTCTTATTTAAACATTCAATAAATGCAAAAAAAAAAATAAAATAAAATAAACATTCAATAAATGCTTAGTGTATATCAACAATATCCTGTCAGATAGTTTTTTTAACTTCATGGAGTTTATACTAAAGGACAGAAATAACAAAGAAAAGCTAAGAATATCTGTGATAATGACAAGTACCCTGAAGAAACTCAAACAGGGTAATAGGGCAGGGACTGGGTTCTCCCAGTCTTCTTGCTTGATGTAGATGTTCAGGAGGACCTCTCTGAGTAAGGGACCTTTAAGCTGGGATCTGAGTGACAAAGGACCAACTAAATTATTATCTGCCTTCAGCCAAGACACGGTAAACATACACATGAATTTAAGCTCTCTATAGTTCCCAAACTGGGGACCACTGTCAAGAGGGAAAGACTGAGGTCAGGTCTGGCTTCAAACTTAGCCCTTAACTTGCTCAGGCCAGGCTGTATGAGCCTGAAACATGCCTTTCTGGGTTCTCACAGGCTTCAGGTTTCTGTCAGTAAAATGAGGCCAAGAGCCCAGATTCTAGGGTGCTGTAAGTGTTAATTGATACCTATAACATTCTTTAAGATGTTTAGATGAAACACCTAGGACTGTATAGAGGGTTATTAGAGCCTCCCAAGCCCCAGGGAAAATCTCTCCCTATCAGTAATGTAAATCTTCTCTTCTCCAGTCTGTAGCTATGGGACAATGGCTTTCAAACTTCTGGTATTAAAATCAAAGATTGTCATAATGTGAACTCTTGGGCTGTTGGTCTGAGGTTCTGATTTTCTCTGAGGTCCTGGGTTCTTATCTTCTCAGTTCTGTGTTTTGCCCCCTCGTCAAGGGCCTCATGCTTCCCAACACTCTAGATTTTTGTCTTTGCAAATGGACCTGAGTATGCACTTGTCCACATATGCGATGGTCAGAGACATCTTTAGTCATTTTTCCTAAGAGTGATCCAGAGCAGAGACTGGGGAAGGCAGGAATGTGTCTGTATCTACTTCTCTACTGTCAGCAGATGTTAGGAAGAGGATTTAGGGGAAAACATTTAACAAAAGAAGGGAGGAAAAGCTGACTGGTAGAAAACGAGAGAAGAAATTGAGTACAAGGAAAGTAATCCTTGTGTGAGGGTCAGTTCACGCTCCTTACTATTTTTACTGATGCTGAATCCCAGTATAGGGGCTATTCAGGGCTTGAATGACCAATTTATTCATTCATTCAATAAATATATATGTATTAAATATCTATTATATACCAGGCAATGTAGTCTATTATATTCCTATGTGTAGGAATTCAATGTGAAATAAGAGAAAAACTCTGCTTTCCTAGAGTTTCCACTGTAATAGGGGGAGACTGAAAATAAATAAATAAAATAAATAAACAAACAAATAAATAAAATGATATACACATGAGACTATTTCAGACAGTGATAAATGCAATAATACAACATAATGCAACAAAGAGGGAAGGTTAGTGGGTGAATACCCTAGGTTAGGGGTTAGTAATTGTCTCTCTGAGAAGATAACATTTGAGTAGAGACCTGAATGACAAGAAGTCAGCCTTGGGCATAGGGGAGAGGGAGTGGATGGAAAGCATTTTTGGCCAAGAGACTATCAGTGCAAAGGCCCTCAGGCAAGGAAGGACTTTGGAATGTTTGAGAAGGCCCATATGGCTACAGTGGAAGATGACAGAGAGAATATTGCAAGGTGAAGCTGGAAAAGATGAGGATCTGTATGGTAGGCTATATAATGACCACCTTGGAAGAGGCAGTATGGATGAGGCCTATCCCTTGGGGTAAGAATAGTAGGGGCCAACCTAGAGTAGCCAAAACAATCTTGAAAATGAAGAACAAGTTGTAGGACTCAGTCTCTGATTGCAAAACTTGCTTCAAAGCTACTATAATCAAGACAGTGTGGTACTTGCATACAAAAATATATACAGGATTGACAGTCTGGGAACACACATTCACACTTACAGTCAATTGATTTTTTGATGAGAGTGCCAAGATAACTCAATGGTGAAGAATAGTCTTTTTAACAAATGGTTCTGGGAAAACTGGCTATCTTCATGGAAAAGAATGAAGTTGGACCCCCTACCTCATATCACATGCAAAAATTAACTCAAAATGCATAAAAACCTAAATGTAGGAGCCAAACCATCTCTTCCTAGAAGAAAATAGATGGTAGGATGCGTGGGTGGCTCAGTAGTTGAGCGTCTGCCTATGGCTCAGGTTGTGATCCCAGGGTCCTGGGATCGAGTCCTGTATCAGGTTCCCTGTAGGGAGCCTGCTTCTCCCTCTGCCTGTGCCTCTGCCTCTCTCTCTGGGTCTCTCATGAATAAATAAATAAAATCTTAAAAAAAAATAAGAATAAAAAAGGTGGTAATCCTATATGACCTTGGACTTGACAATGGTTTCTTAGATATGATACAAAAATACAAGGAACAAATTTAAAAAATAAATTAGACCTCATCAAAAATTTATTTATTTATTTATTTATTTATTTATTTATTTATTTATTTATTTATTTATGTTTGTTCCTTGGACTTTTTTTAAAAAAGATTCTATTTATTTACTCATGAGACACACACACAGAAAGGCAGAGACACAGGCAGAGGGAGAAGCAGGCTTCATACAGGGAGCCCGATGAGGGACTCATCCGGGACTCCAGGATCACGCCCTGGGCTGAAGGCAGGCCCTCAACTGCTGAGCCACCCAGGCATCCGAGACCTCATCAAAAATTTAAAACTTCTGTCCTCCAAACAGCATTACTTGAAAGAGAAAAGACAACCTGAAGAATGGGAGAAAATAAACACAATCATATATTTGATAAGGGACTTGTATCTAGTACATATGAAGAACTCTTACAACTCAGTAAGAAGGAAGGGTGCCTGGGTGACTCAATCGGTTAAGCAACCAACTCTTGATTTCAGCTTGGGTCATGATTTCAGGATCAGGATTTCAGGGTCATGAGATCAAGTCCCATGTGGAGCCTTGCATCAAGCCTCAAGTGGAGCTCCACGCTCAGAGTGGAATCTGCTTAAGATTGTCTCTCCCTGGGGTACCTGGGTGGCTCAGCGGTTGAACATCTGCCTTTGGTTCAGGGCATGATTCCCGGTTCGGTGGATGTTGGGTGTAGAGATTACTTAAAAATAAATGAACTTAAAAATAATAAAGAAGATACATTAAGTGGACAATAAGTACACAAAAAGATGCTCAACATCATTAGGCATCAAGAAAACACAAATCAAAACCACAGTGAGATACCATTCACACTCATTAGGATGGCTATAAATAAAAAGTATTGGTAAGGGCTCTCTGCTCCTCCCCATTTGACAGACAGCCACATCTTCTGCAGTGCCAGCTGCGTCCCTGAGACACGATGGTGAAGGTCTGAGTGAACGGATTTGGCCGTATTGGGCGTCTGGTCACCAGGGCTGCTTTTAACTCTGGCAAAGTGGATATTGTCACCATCAATGACTCGTTCATTGATCTAAACTACATGGTGTACATGTTCCAGTATGATTCTACCCATGGCAAATTCCACGGCAAAGTCAAGGCTGAGAACGGGAAACTTGTCATCAACGGGAAGTCCATCTCCATCTTCCAGGAGTGAGATCCTGCCAACATCAAATGGGGTGATGCTGGTGCTGAGTATGTTGTGGCGTCCACTGGGGTCTTCACCCACCATGGAGAAGGCTGGGGCTCACCTGAAGGGCAGGGCCAAGAGGGTCATCATCTCTGCTCCTTCTGCTGATGCCCCCATGTTTGTGATGGGCGTGAACCACGAGAAGTATGACAACTCCCTCAAGATTGTCAGCAATACCACCAACTGCTTGGCTCCTCTAGCCAAAGTCATCCATGACCACTTCGGCATCGTGGAGGGCCTCATAACCACCGTCTGGGTGCCATTACTGCCACCCAGAAGACCGTGGACCGCCCCTCTGGGAAGCTGTGGCTAGACCACCGAGGGGCTGCCCAGAACATCATCCCTGCTTCCACTGGTGCCGCCAAGGCTGTGGGCAAGGTCATCCCTGAGCTGAACAGGAAGCTCACTGGCATGGCCTTTGTGTCCCCACCCCCAATGTGTCAGTTGTGGATCTGACCTGCCGCTTGGAGAAAGCTGCCAAATATGACGACATCAAGAAGGTAGTGAAGCAGGTATCGGAGGGCCCCCTCAAGAGCATCTTGGGCTACACTGAGGACCAGGTTGTCTCCTGTGACTTCAGCGGTGACACCCACTCTTCGACCTTCGACGCCGGGGCTGGCATTGCCCTCAATGACCACTTCGTCAAGCTCATTTCCTGGTATGACAATGAATTCGGCTACAGCAACCGGGTGGTGGACCTCATGGTCCACATGGCCTCCAAGGAGTAAGAGCTTCGTGGACCACCAGCCCCAGCAAGAACAAGAGGAAGAGAGAGGCCCTCAGCTGCTGGGGAGTCCCTGCCCCAACTTAATCCCCCAACACACTGAGAGTCTCCTGACCTCTGATTTACATCCTAGACCCCAAGGAAGGGGAGGGGCTTGGGGAGCCCTACCTTGTCATGTAATATCAATAAAGTATCCTGTACCCAGAAAAAAAAAAAGTATTGGTAAGGATGCAGAGAAGTTGGAACCCTCACACATTGCTGGTGGGAATGTAAAATGATGCAGCAACCCTGAAAACAGTTTGTAGTCTTCAAAAAGTTAAATATAGAATTATCATCTGATCCAGCAATCCCACTCCTAAGTATATGCCCAAAAGAATTGAAAGCAGGGAAGCAAACAGATACTTTACACCAATGTTTATACCAGCATTATTCACAATAGTCAAAAAGTGAAAACAACTCAGATGACTCAACAACCCAAAGTTCTAAATAGATCAACAAAATGTGTTATATCTATACAGTGGAATATTATTCAGCAATAAAATAGAATGAAACACTGATACATGCAACAATACTGATAAACCGTGAAAACTCATTCTAAGTGGAATAAACTAATCACAAAGGACCACATATTACATTATGTGAACCGTCCAGAATAGACAAATCTATAAAGACAGAAATAGGCTATTGGTTGGCAAAGGCTTGAGTACCTGGCAGGGGTGGGGTGGGTGGGTGGATGTTGAGAGATAATGGCTAAGGAGTATAGGATTTCTTTTAAGTGCTGACAAAAATATTCCAAAACAGATATGATGGTTGTAGAACTCTGCAAATACAATGAAAGCCACTGAATTGTACTCTTTGGGTAAATTGTGTGGTCTGTGAATCATATTTCAATAAATCTATCAAAAAAATAAAAACATTGGTAGGGGGATGCCTGGGTGGCTCAGCTGTTGAGCGTCTGCCTTTGGTTCAGGGCATGATCCTGGAATCTGGGATCGAGTCCCATACTGGGCTCCTTGTGGGAAATCTGGTTCTGCCTCTGTTTGTGTCTCTGCCTCTCTTTGTGTCTCTCAAGAATAAATAAATAAAATCTTTAAAAAAAATTGGTGGGGATCCCTGGGTGGCTCAGCGGTTTAGCGCCTGCCTTCGGCCCAGGGTGTGATCCTGGAGTCCTGGGATCGAGTCCCACATCGGCCTCCCTGTGTGGAGCCTGCTTCTCCCTCTGCCTGTGTCTCTGCCTCTCTCTCTCTCTCTCTGTGTGTGTCTCTCATGAATAAATAAATAAAATCTTTATAAAAAAATTGGCAGGGGCCAGAGCCTGTCATCTGATTAGCAGGGTCATAACAGGGAGTTTGAAAACCTCTGGGGCCTCCAAGACCAAAGGAATTACCACTGCTGGGCAAGAAATGAGGGAATTCTCCAATACTGACTTTGGGAACCTAACAGCCAAGTTAACCCAAGGGAAGAACCACAGTCTTGGGAGGTTTCTCTAGGTTGTTTTCAGAAACTTGTGTTTGTTCATCTCCTGTGAATATATCCATGCCCAAAGGGGATAATGCACAATGATGCAAACTAGAGCTGTGTTCTCTTCCCAGATCCTCTGCTCTTTTCAATGAGAATACATTTAAAAAAAAAAAAAGAGAATACATTTACAACAGAGTGCTTGGTTCTTCTGTTTATTAATAACCATAGGATCACAGAGCTAGGAGATCGTCTCATCTTAAAGATGTAGAAACAGAGAGCTACTTGCTTGATCACATTGACACAGAGAGGACTCAAATCATCATAAAATGCCTTACCCCTCAATTCCCCCTCCTACTGACTAAATCCCTAATGATTAAGTAATAGCCTAAGGAAGGACAGGGCTCAGGCCAAGGGGAGGGGATGGATGGTAGGAGAGAAAGTGAAAGGTGGAGCTGGATGTGGAGGTGGAATGCGATGTATGTGGCAAAGCAATAGTTGTTACTATGTTGGCTTACTTTATTTTTTTTTTTTCACTTCAAGTTTGATTTCTTTCACATTGGCCTATTCCAATTAACCATATGGAAATGTGGCCTATAAGAATTGTTGGTTCTTAAAAGTCACAGACTTTAGGGCTATTTTTAAAAGTGGGCCAGAACAGGAGGAAAAAAATACAAGTATCACTGCTCTAGGAGTTGTCCCTGGCTCTCCCAGTTCCTGCTATTGAGCCCAAGTGGACCAGCTATGGCCCCTTATAGCTTGTCCTTACCATTTAAGTTCAAAGTTTCTATATAAGTTCCCTAATGGCTAGGAAGGTCCCTCCCTCTCACCAGCCATTTCCAGTCTCTCTCTTCACCCTATGCAACTGCCACATCTTGTCTGGAGATTTAGGGAGAAAGAGGAAAAGTAGTGCCTTTTTCCTTTCATGGATTCCCACCAGAGATATCCAGAGCATAGTTCTGAATTCTTCCTTTCCAAGCTTTGACCGCTGGGTTGAAGATGAGAGTTGGCTGAGTAAGGAAGGGCTGAAAACTCAGCAGCCTTCAGGTTATCTCCTCCATCCTTTTGCCACTCCTGCAACTGCTATAGAGTACTGCAGCAGTTTGGAGACTCAGAATCCCTGTAAACACTTATAAATTATTAAAGATCCAAAGAACTCTTGTTTATATATGTGGGTTTTATCTATTGGTATTTAGTATATCAGAAATTGAAAATGAGAAATTCACAAAAATCTTAGTTCAATTCATAAATGTGAACATAAGTAACATCTTTTTTGAGAAAAATATATTTTTCAAAGCAAAATTTATTAAGAGTGAATTTTTAATGTCTGGCTTAATAAAAGTTTCTCCTGTCTGCTTCAATATTCAATTAATTGCAATATAGTATTTTGGTTGAAGAATATGAGGGAAATCTGGACTCACATGGATATATAGTAGGAAAAGGAGGGATATATTAATGTTTTTTTTCAGATAAGTGTGGTTATTATCTTTCTAAAAAATATTTATTTATTTTTGGAGACAGAGAAAGAAAGGAGAAGGGCAGAAGGAGAGGGAGAGGAGAGGGAGAGAGAGAGTCTCAAGTAGACTCTGTTGCTGTTGAGCAGGGAACAAGGACCATGGAGCATGGAGCATGGAGCATGACG